CACAAAGTACTGAACCTCTTCAGAGAAATTTGGAATCAGTACTGAATAGCTTAAGAAATTACTCCAGAATTTACTGAAGAGTTTGAAATCACTTCTACAAGTACTGATTCACTTCGAATAGAATTGAATTACTTAAGAAAAGTTTTGAATCACTTCAGAAAAGTTCGGAAAGTACTGAATTACTTTAAATTTGGAATCACTTTGGAAAGTACTGAATCATTAAAAAAAAAAAGTTTGTTATCACTTCCGCAAGTACTGCAGTACTTTGAAAAGAACCGAATTATTTTAGAAGAGCTTGGAATTACTTCAGAAAGCACTGAACAACTATAGAAAAGTTCGATATTATTTCGTAAGGTACTGAACCACTTCAGAAAATCTCGAAATTACTCCAGAAAGTACTTAATCAAGAACTGAATCACTTCAGAAAGTACTGAATCACGTCAGAAAAGTTTGGAAACATGTCAGAAATCCTGAATCAGAAAGTCCTGAAAAAAAACGGAAACACTTTTAAAAGTACCGAATCGCTTCATACAAGTTTGGAATCACTTCAGAAAGTACTGAATCACTTCAGAGAAGTTTGGAATCAGTACTCAATTGCTTAGTAAATTTTGGAATCACTTTCCAAAAAAGTTTATTATACCTTCTGCAAGTTCTGCATCATTTCAGAAAGAACTGAATCATTGAAGACAAGTTTGGAATCACTTCAGATAGTACTGAATAATTTCAGAAAAGTTCTGAATCACTCCAGAAAGTACTGAATCACGTCCGTAAAGTTTGTGACTGCTCCGGAAAGTACTGATTCAATTAACACAAGTTTGAAATCACTGAACTGAATCACGTCGGAAAGTATTGAGTTGATTCAGCAAAGATTATAATCACTTCTGAAAGTACTGAATCTCTTTAGAAATGTTCGGAGTCACTTTACAAAGTACTGAACCTCTTCGGAAACGATTGGAATTACTCCAGAATTTACTGAAGAGTTTGAAATCACTTCCGCAAGTACTGATTCACTTCGAATAGAATTGAATTACTGAAGAAAAGTTTGGAATCACTTCAGAAAAGTTCGGATAATGAATTACTTTAGAAATTTTGGAATCACTTTGGAAAGTACTGAAACGTTCCAAAAAAAGTTTGTTATCACTTCCGCAAGTACTGCATCACTTTGGAAAGAACTGAATCATTTAAGAAGAGCTTGGAATTACTTCAGAAAGAACTGAACAACTGCAGAAAAGTTTGAAATTACTTCGTAAGGTACTTTAATCACTTCAGAAAATCTCGAAATTACTCCAGAAAGTACTTAATCAATTCGTAAAAGTTTGAAATCACTTTTACAGGAACTGAATCACTTCAGAAAGTACTGAATCACGTCAGAAAAGTTTGGAAACATTTCAGAAAAAAACAGAAACACTTTTAAAAGTACCGAATCGCTTCATACAAGTTTGGAATCACTTCAGAAAGTACTGAATCACTTCAGAAAAGTTTGGAATCAGTACTGAATTGCTTAAGAAATTTTGGAATCACTTTGAATCAAAAAGTGTTCATAACTTCCGCAAGTACTGAATCATTCAGTAAAGAACTGAATCAAAAAAGAAAAGTTTGGAATCACTTCGACAAATACTGAACCACGTCAGTACAATTCGTCACTACTCCGTAAAGTACTTCAGTTTTTTTTTTTAATAATTTCAGAAAGTTCGGAATCAATTATACATGCACACCCACCACGTAATGGCAGAATCCCAAACCAATTCCCATCTTCCGAATGCCCTTGGTCCTCTGAACAACTTTGGTGGAGATTTGAACTTCCTAGGTGGTCGGGATCACGAGATAAAATAAATAAAAAATGCTAAATTTGTCATGCACACTAGCCCTGCGTGGCGACAGAATTTCGAACCAAACTGTCTTCCTTTCGGAAGTCCTTGGCCTTAGAAACAACTTTGCTCAAGTCAACACCTTTGCAAATAATCAGGATTTCGAGTTATAGCATCATAGATGTAACTGTTTTTAGGTTATGCATAATTTGCTCCCTTGAAAATCTTCTGAATCTTCACTCTTTGACCTCCTTCTGCAATGCTTTTTAAATTATTAATATTTTTTGCAATATTACCTAGGAATTCCCTGGAGATTTCTACTGAAAATTCATTTGGAGTTCTCCTCAGCATTCATTTAGTATTCTTCCGTAATTCCCATGGAATTATTCTATTTTGGACTCCCATGAATTATTTGAAACGCTCCTCAGAAATCCCTTGGAATTTGCATTTGAATTCACTAAAAAATATCTCCGAAAGTCTTCTGATAGCCTCCTAAGAATTAACTTGCAGTTCTCCTCACAAATTCCTTCTTCTCAAAATAAGTTTGGCATTCAAGCCAGCACTCTCCTAGAGTTATTCTCCCAATTTCTTTGAAGTTATCAGGAATTAGTCTAAGATTTAATTGCTATCCTCCTTTTAGCATACTTCCTAAATGTTCAAGGAATTATGCTCTGGATTCTATTTTCTCCAAGAAGCATCATGAAGTTATCCTCAGAATTCCCTTGTATTTCTCCTTTGAATAGCCGTGAATCATGAAATATATCTCAGAATTCCTTAGGAATCAACATCAGAAATTTCGATAAATTTTCATTAAAATTTCATTTCAATCCTAGTAAGGATTTACTTGGATTTAATAGATATCCATCATCTTAGTATTCGCCTTCATATAGAATCTGGAGTTCCTCAGAACTACCTTCAAATGAGTTCCCTAGAAACTCTCATCAAATTCCATGCGCCATGAAAATTATGCCACGTCCTAAATCTTGATTTTTTTTTCAAATCTGTGATCTTGGAAAATCTTCAACTTCCGACATCATGAATATGTATCTTCGTTCCCGATTCTTGAAAAGTTCTCCAAGTATAATTATTTGAAATCCAGAATTTCAATTTCTTTTATCAGGTTTAAAATGTGTGAAGAATATTCTTATTCCAGAATTTTAAAAAGAAAAAACAGCCAAACGTTTCCAAATATGATTCCAGACGGTCTTCATCTGGGATTCGAGACATTCTGGACGGAGATTTCGGACAGGGATTCCAGACATTTTAGACGTGGATTCCAGACGTTCCGATTGGAGATTTCATACGTTCTTGATGACAATGCAGACTTAATTGATTCTAGCTGTTCCCAAACATGATTCCTGACGATTCCGTCGAAGATTCCAAACGTTTCCGAAGATAATACCATACGTTCTCAACTTGAATTCCGCTTTGGACGGAGATCTCAATGAAGGTTGCGGAAATTTCTGCCGGGGATTCCAGACATTTTTTATGTGGATTAGAAAGGTTCCAAAACGTTCTCGAAGGGCAGTTCAGACGTTCCCAACGAAAAATCCAGGCATATCCGACGGAGATTACAGACAATGTCGACTTGGTTTCATTCTAGACGGAGGTTGCAGAAGTTTTCAACGTTCTCGACTGGGATTCCAAATTTTCTCTTTAGGCATTTAAAGCTTATACTACAGATGTTTCCTAAAATGATGCCAGAAGTTCTCGATGAAAATTCCAGATGTTCCTGAAGATGATTCTACATAGTCCCGAATTAGATTGCAGGAAGTGACAGTGGGTTTCTGACATTTTCGACGCGTTTTCCAGACGATTCCGACGAAGATTCCAGACGTTCGTGAAGTGATTTCACACATTCCCGTCCATGATTCAAGAAATTCCCGAAGGACATACCAGACAATCCCGACGGCTGTTCCAGAATCCCGAATCAATTCTGGAATGTATGGGGTATCCGTCGGGAAAATTTGGAATCTTAGTCGGAAATTGTTGAAAGCTTCGTAGTAATTTTCCATTATCTTCAATTTGGTTCTGCGTTCGAAGTCTTCAACATTGTTAAATGAAAATTCACTAAAAACTTTACAGGCTGTTATTTGATTGTTCTCAAGCATTTCCATTGAAATAATTTCCCTTCAGTTCTTTACAGAATTCAAAATTTGAGATTTTCTCTTTGAGTACCTCAGAAATTCTCTGCAGAAAACTCCAAAAAAATAGTGAAATTTGTCCTTAGAACTAATTTATGTTGCTTGCTGGGACAAACTGGCATGATGTTGTTTTCACATTTTCCATGATCAAGTCCGTAGTTTCATCACGTAATATAAAAGTAGATGCCAATTGATAGCGCCATTATCTTAAAATTGACGAACTGTGATAACAATCGTTCCCACTCGAAGAATTCAAAAAAAAATCCATTTCAAAAGACATTGGTTTGACATTGGCCCCAATTTTCTGGGAAATTTGTAGGTACATACTTACGTTCAAAGAGGCCTGTATAATAATTATTCTAATTTTCTGTTACACACCAGAACCGACGCAGAAGGACTATGATTGTCCATGTCCCACAACTGGCAACACGGCCATCAATAGCACCTTGGGCATCTCACTGCTACTGCTTCTGCTTCTGCCGTGCCATTCACCACATGAGCAACTCCTTCCCGTTTAATCTTTTCCTCTGTTTGCACTGATTCTGACAAATCTAGGAGAATGGAAACGGAATCACTTTCAAGCTAGTGAAACATTCCTTCTCCACAAAACACCAACAGGCGCAGCTCTTCATGGCAGGCACATTGCTACATTAATTACACTTCAATGACACGCGAAAAGCCACTCTTGGTGTCATTCTCCACCTATCCCGTGGCCGTAGGTCTTATGACACAATCTTTTTTGCGCTATTGCAAGAACAACTACCACCTCCACCTACATCTGCCTGCGTACGAACGTCCTTGCTCAAAGCTGCTCTACAGGAGCACCAATATAAACCAGCCCTAATAACAACACACATCAAGCACTACTTCTTAATCTCGGTGACCTGCACCTAAAATACCTGGAAAGCAATAATCCTCCCCTCCCCGTCGGCCACCAAAACCCCGCACAAATCACACGATAAGGCGAAAAAATCGAACCGTAATCGCCCGACCGTCGTGGAATATGATTCAATTTTCCCACTGCCCTGGCCCCTCCGCTCGCACTCACTTTTTCGGACTTTCTCCGGGCGATCACCAACTAATCCACAATGGGACGGTTCAGGATTTTCACTCTTTCGGTTCACTGATTACACTGTTGTTTCCCGTTTCTGCACTGTTCAATTTTTCACGGAAAACTAGTTGGCTTTTATTTGCTCATCGACGACGAATTTTTCCATTACGGACTCGTACTGAAGAACAAACTGACGACGACGACGAATCTTCGAGTTTTGCTGAAGGTTTTCTGATTCTGATGACTGAATGTGACGTTTCTCTCTTGTTGCTTTTTTTTCCACTCAGCTCGAAACCACCAGGGCCCAACTTGGAACTGGGCAGGTATTTTTTTAATGAGATCTAATATTATTTCTAGAGTAACATTTGAAAAAGGCGGAATTCTAAAACCACCATATCGAGAAAACCACTTCCATATGTTGATGACCTAAAAATAATCCCATTTCAAGACTTACCATTTCCGGATGATTTTATTAGATTGATAAATAGTCAATAGTGTAATATAACATCATGCACCACTAAAAATAAAAAAATACGTGTTTTTGCTGTGAAATTGAGAAGAAAACATCATACGCCCTGATAATTCCTTACATGTTGTAAGAGATGAACTAGCCTATGGCTAAAAATCTCTACACCGAGGTGAATTTCCATATACCTTTTATGTGTGAAACCACATAGTTTTTTGCAATTAGACTTCACAAATAAAAAATATGTTTGAAGAACATATAAATTATTTGGCTTCCCACCAATACATTCAATGGCATATAAGAAATGAATTTAATTTGCTTTGGTAAATAGAATTTATGTGTGACGTTTATAACATTTATTTCTCGGTAGAACATAAAGATTATGTGTCTAATTCAAATGAAAGTCATGGTACAAATAATAACGCTTACGTGTCAATTTCATATATTTTATTTGCTAAAAATATAAATAAAATAATAACAATACAGACTCTGTTAAATTATTTATTTTCCTGAAGATTTTACACCGTCACTGACGTCAGTGGATTGTATATTCCCGCGTGAAGGCGTTTTTGGTTTGAGTCCTCCGATGTATGTCGAAGGCGAGGTCGAAGGTGCCTCGGAGGGTCTAGCGTATACATCGCCGCCTTTAGTCTCTACGTCCTCTTCCTGCGCGTCCCCCTCCTGCACTTCCTCCTCCTGCACGTCATCCTCCTGCAAGTCTTCCTCCTACACGTCCTCCTCCTGCACGTCCAGCAGGAAGAATCCCTGTGTAGAATTCACAAAAAAAAAAAAATAATCTCAAACAAATAATATTTATTGCACTAACTCACGTTTGCCTTACGCCATTTAGGTATCCGACGGAAGATTTAGGTTTCCTCTGATTTTAAAGCTTCTCCGAGCTCATCACGGCTGTTGGCTAATGTTTATGTGAATTTTGTTTCGCTGAAAACAATCGAAAATAATAGTTTTATGGTAAATAGTTAAAGATAAATGAGATAAATTATTATTTACCTTTGAGAATGCTCAAGTTTTGTTGGAAGATGGAGACTATTTAGCACAAGTTGTGCAATAGTGTGCACTGAAACATTATGTGTGAAAACACATAACCTTCATCTATGAGATTCGAACCATAATTTTTATGGCAGTATACATATAAATAAAATTTGTCACGCATATACGTGATATCCCTAATAAACGTGTACCTTATACTGACGATATCTTAGATGGTGCGACCATACCACATAAAATTGGGATGATACACCGAATTGGTGGTTAGGCGCATCTTATGGTTATTGTTTATGCGGGATGGGCTAGCTTATAGTAGGTAAGGGGTTTATTATGAAAATTATGTTAACACGTATAAACATAATGTTTTGAATATCTTATAAAAATTATGTGCACAGACAAAATAAACATTAGGTTTAGAATTTTATTAGTGTATATTAAAGAAAAAAAATAAAAAAAAATAAAAACCTTACATGTTGTTACCCCCCAGATCATCAGCCCTTGAACTGACATCACTGGTGATACGCCGTGAAAATACACCCTGGAGATATTTTGTTTGTTGTTCCGCCTTGGTTCAGTCCTTCGCAAATTTAATGACAGTGGAATTACACTCGGAGATTTTTTTTTTTGACGTAGGACTACGTCTGTGATTTCTTTATGGGGTTACACTTTGTGAAAACCGAGAATGGAACATGTAACAAAATTATGAAAGATTTTGAACGTTAATAACTCAGCTGCCCCTAGACCAATTTTAATAATTTTATCACCAATTGATCAGAAATATTTTGACGCATGTTTTAAACTTAAGATTTCATCAAAATGTCACTATTGAAAATTGCACAAATGAAAATTATCGCCGATTGCCTGTGAAAAGCGATTTCCCTAACACAGATTTCAAAGTTGAATTCCATCTGGTCTGACCAAACGGTGTTTATTCAATCACCGCGTGGTGAGTGGTGGTGTTCTTCAGTACACAACGAAAGTCGACATGAGCATCCATAGAAGGAGGAAGAAGCCGCACAGCTATTGATCAGAATCAGTAGCTCTTCGTGAGTCATTGTGGACCATATATGTCAAGCGCGTCATACTAAAGAGTATAAACAGAGAGAACCCCCCTCAAATTCCAATTCCTACACAAAACACAAGCTCCTGCTGCAGTTAACAAATAAGATTTATTATATAAGTCCACGTAGTCCTACGTCACCATTGCGTACAACCATAGAGGTAACTCTAAGACTTCTGGGTCCCGAAGAAAATCATTATTATTTTTGGCTCACTCAGTACCAGAACAACGGTCCCAAGCAGTCCCAAGCTATTTCACTCACCCCTGCATGTTCTGCATGAATCCACACACCCCTGATGTTATCTGTCAAATTTTCATAGCGAATCAAAACAAACATAGTGTAGTAATAGAATTTCAACTAGAATAGGGTACGTTAATCGTTTGCTTGGGACCAATAGGCTACTAAAGTGGTGAGCCAATTTAAAATCGTTAGTTTCGTATTGATTGTTGCTAATACCAACAATCAATACGAAACTAACTATTTTAAATTGGCTCACAACTTGACTAGCCTATTGGTCCCAAGCAAACGATTAACGTATCCCATTCTAGTCGAAATTCTAGTACTACGCAATGTTTATTTTGATTCGCTATGAAAGATTGACAGATAAAATGAGGGGTTGTTTCGATGGGTGAATCGATTAGCTTGGGACCGAAGAGGGTACCAGAGCTGAGCCAAAAGGTTGAGCACGTTTCTTCAGGACCTTCTAGTCTTAGAGTTACCTGTATGCTAATACTAACGGTGGTAGAGAACTCTATAGTGAGAGGAATTCTGCTGTAGAATTAACATCAGCAATAAAATCTGTATGTAGGCTGGATTGCATAGTATGAGAGATAGGTATAGCTCTCTTACATACATTTTTTTGATTTTACTGGTTCGCAGATTTTGCGCGCATTTTGATTAGTGGCGTTTTCAATTGAAAAGTAGAGATTTATTGATTGAGACTTTTTTTTATTATTATAGTCACTTGGGTGAGTGAGCTAAAAATAATAATGATTTTCTTCGGGACCCAGTGGTCTTAGAGTTACCTCTATGGTATTACCATAGAGGTAACTCTAAGACCACTGGGTCCCGAAGAAAATCATTATTATTTTTGGCTCACTCAGTACCAGAACAACGGGAGTCGAGTTTCTAACGCCTTTGGATACGGTTGTGTGTTAAGTTCGTTCTTTGTTTTGTGCGTGCATTCGCTTTCATAGTTTTCGGCTGCATTTGCCGGATTAGCGCTGGCACTCTGCCTCCCGGACGGTTATACGTGTGTGAGTGTTGGTTTCTCGCTTTCCGAGAAGTTTTAGAATCGAGAAAGAAAACATGATTCATCATGTTTGCAAAATTGGCGTGGTTTGATTGTTTCTCCCGGACCAGAAATTTGTGGCATCGCGAGTGAAAGTTTTAATTTCTGTTTATTTACGCGGTGATGAGAAGTGCGCTGATCTATTGTCAGGGTTTTGAGATGTGCATTGCTTTTGTGCACGGAGTGACTTGAAAAAGAAAAGTGAAGAAAAGTGATATTTGGTTGTTGTGTGGTTGGAGTGGAGGGAAAAAATATGCGTGGAAGCATCGGGAATGCGCTCCCGGGTGAAGTGATTTGGTGAGTACGTTCCAGTTGAAGATTGTTGACAAGTGTATTTGTGGTGATACAAATTATGGTTTAGATGACGCATGGCTTCAAACATTTTGTGTATCCAAATAAAACATATTACATACTAAATACGCACAGGGCATCGTCTGCTGACCATTGCCGCGGGTATATCGTGGGAGTTCCAGGTACCCGGTTCAAGCTTTAGTTGGCGGCGGTGGCTCTTCTTGACCTTCTACCCCCTGAGTAGTTAGTGTGAATAAGGGCGTCTATGTGATGTTTTGCTGTACCTGTTGTGGACATTTAGTGCATCCTGTTCCCTTAACTTGTTGAGGACACCCTGTCTTGCCTCAAAAGTTACCCTTTTTGAAGTACTAGTCTTCACAACATAAAGGGCACCATTACGGAGCATGAGATTTGATCAAATTATTCGCAGTTCTACTTGTCCAACGCCCCCGGCTGGGTGAGGGATAGAGGATGACACACACACACACACACTCAGTACCAGAACAACGGTCCCAAGCAGTCCCAAGCTATTTCACTCACCCCTGCATGTTCTGCATGAATCCACACACCCCTGATGTTATCTGTCAAACTTTCATACACTGAACTATTCCCATTTTGCTTGAAATTTAATCAATTTGACATTAAACTCAGTTTAATCATATCGAATGATTAAAAATTAATCCTCTCGTTCTAAAAAATAAGCATCTGATGTTAATCCCAGTTAAATCATGATTAATTAGATTTAGATTATCTTTTTTTGAATAAATTTCAATCATTTTTGATTCTTTTTTAATAAATTTTGATTGAATTTTAACCTTTTTTGACTATATATCAGTATTGAAAAAGAATAAAATTTAATATTGGAAAGATTATTTCGATTTTAATCATGCATGACTACTGCCGAAGTAATCATGGCTCTTACTCAATAAGGTGAAGCGGGAATCTGCATACTTTTTAAGCTTTTTTGATTTAATTTATCTTTGAGTGTAGCGAATCAAAACAAACATAGTGTAGTAATAGAATTTCAACTAGAATAGGGTGCGTTAATCGTTTGCTTGGGACCAATAGGCTACTAAAGTGGTGAGCCAATTTAAAATCGTTAGTTTCGTATTGATTGTTGGTATTACTGACTACCATAACCATTACCATTAAAGTTAAAAAATCATAAATAAAAAGGTTCTAATATAGGTTTCTTTCCGAAAATGTATGGAGAAAACAAGAATTTGGAATGGTAATGGTCCTTAACAACCCATTATTTGTAAGGTCCACTCCAAAAAACCATAATCAAACTTAATCACACAAACGTTCATGTAAAGTTCCATAACCATATCAGCTAAAGTTTAGCAGGGATTATAAACAATGTTTAACCATTTTCGGTAAGATCATGTTATGGTTCGCGTTTATGCGGGATGCTATGAAACACAATGTATCCACATGCCAAAATTTACCCCCTGACGATAATAGAATAAGGTATTTCAGAATCCGTCATTTATCCTATTTGAAAATTAACAGTTAAAAATCATTGTAATTTCGTTGTTTTATTATATTTTATTTTTTATTTTGGGTGATTATTAAGGTATATGCACAGACAAACAGACATAACTCATTGAATATTTCTCACTGTAAAACATCGTCGCTAAAACATTACCGCCATCTGTTGAGTACACTGTGGTGGGTAGTACGCTGAACAGATGGCGGTAGTGTGTAAACGTCAAACGCAAGGGAATTTACTATGCGCGCCACAGGTGGTGGTACTACCAACTATGATACTTTTAAATTGACCGTTAAATGCTTGTTCGATCAACAACTTGCGAGTGTTATGTCTGTTTGTCTGTGGTATATGCATCATTAAAATATTCATGGGATCGACTGTGAGTATAGAAAAAAACATCGAATATGCACTGTGTTTAGATCATTTTCGCAAGGTAAACCATTTTCTGAACATTTTCTGAGCAAGCGATTTTTCTAAACAAACTGTCACCGCTCGTTGCGTCAACAAGAAAAAGAAAAATAAAAAGTGATGATCAATAAGTTGATAAAATTTACTGCTTAAATATTTTAAACATAATTTCACGTATTTTCTGTGCAAATAGAATAAAATGTCTCGTCAAAATACTCGCTTGGATACGAAAAAAGTGGTGAGTACCGGAAGCCTGGAGTATTTCCCGTAAAAACGGTCAATATTTGTAGCAACAAGACGCAGGCTCATCCCTTACCGAAGCTTTATCACATTCCTTCCGGACCGTTCCTTTTCCTCCCAAGAACACAGATTGTCGGTCGTCCCGTTTTTTAAAGCACGCTTTTTTCTTCAACTGTCTCTTGTTTGTATTTTTAGTGCTTCTGCTAGGGGTTTTGTTCAGTGAAAAAGGTTTTTGAGTTCAAAGTGAAAAGATGCAACCGGAAGGGGCGGATCGCAAGGATGGTGTAAACACTGCTAACATAATCATCAAAATGGAAGGAGACCAGAACGTAGCCGGTGGACCACCGATTCAAGTGCTGCAACTGAATCAGGCCTTGCAAGATCCGAACAATCAGCAAATGCTGTTGCAATCCCTACAGCAATCAATGGCGGGAAATCCGGTTGGCCAGCAGGTACAGGTTGTCCCGATCACTTCCATACCCGGGCAAGGGCTGATGGTTCAGCAAACGGCCCAGCCACAAATGCTTCAGTTTACCTTGGACGGATCGCAAACTTTTCTCTACCAACCGGTCCAACTACCGACGGAATCCATCCAGAATGTCAACATCAACGGAAACATCGTTCAGATTCCGAATCAAGCGCTTGCAACAGCTGGTTCCGGAGGAACAGCACCGGTTGTAATGCTAGCCGCTGGTCCGGACCAAAACGGCATTGCTACCATTCAGAATCCGACTGTTTTTGCGCCGACTACTACGGTACAACAGAGCAGTGGAACTGTGACCACTGGCAGCAATGTTGGTCATCAAATTGGCAGTGGATCCAGTGCTCAGACGACGGCTGCCGCCATCGAGACGCTCCAAACGGTGGCCAATGTGGAATCGGAAGAGGAACCGCTATATGTGAATGCCAAACAGTACAAGAGGATTTTGAAACGGAGGCAGGCGAGGGCCAAACTGGAGGCGCAGGGGAAGATTCCCAAGGAGAGACCGAAGTATCTGCACGAATCCCGCCACAAGCATGCAATGAACCGCGTTCGCGGCGAAGGAGGACGATTCCATTCGAGTATGATTGGACAGGATGGGGAATGAAACGTGAATTTATTATTAATCTGTGTGTTATTTTAAGAATGATAAGGAAAGTGATGAATAAAGCGTGTTTTAAAAGGTTTTAATCAGAGGTTAGTTTGTTTATAAAGTAGGAATAAGTTTTTAGTATTTAGGTATATATATATATAGAAGATAACTAGAAATGAGTAATTTTCTCCATCTTCTTCCGCAGAACTCTGAATTGCTGACGCTCACCTATGGAGCACTGGTGTCGCAGATGCTGCGGGATTTTGAAAATGTCGAAGACGTCAACAAGCAGTTGGAACGGATCGGTTACAATATGGGCATGCGTCTGATAGAGGACTTCCTGTCGCGCACCAACTCGCCACGGTGCCTGGATATGCGCGAAACCGCCGACAAGATCCAGCTGGCCTTTCGAATGTATCTGAACGTCCAACCGACGATTTCCAACTGGGCCGCCTCGGGCGATGAATTCTCACTCGTTTTCGATACCAACCCGCTGACGGAGTTTGTCGAACTACCGCAGGACTATCAACAGTTGCGGTACAGTTCCGTCATTTGCGGCTGCATCCGGGGGGCGCTGGAGATGGTCCAGCTGGAGGTGCAATGTTGGTTCTCGCAGGATCAACTGAAGGGTGATGCCAGCACGGAAATTAGAGTTAAGTTCGTGAGGCGGCTGGAAGATGCCGTGCCAGCCGGGGAGGATTAGTGAGAGTGAGTGGTTATCGGGACAACACTTTCGGTGAGTAACAGCGACGGCATTCCATGATCGCATGTATGGATAGTTTTGGCAATGGGATTGCAATCGGTCGAAGGAATATGTTCGTAATTATAAATTTACTATTTATCCACGTCATGCGAGGGATTTTGTTTTGCTTGGAAAGAAATGTCCTTTTTGAAGGTAGGATGTGAGATGGGACTAGGTTGATGGTGTTCATAATACTCGACATTCTTGAAGTGGTAGACCCTCGTGACTGATGCTAGGAGGTGCGGTACACAAATTACGTATTCCAAAAAATCTGGATTTTGGTCCCCCTTCCCTCCTATGTAACAATAAGTAACGCTTGACAAGACTCCCCTTCTAATATGACATAATGCTAATTCTTCAAAAAATATCGTCAAGCGTATTTTGCAGGCACACTAGCACCCTCTATCATGCACATTTCCAAGCATGGTTTTGCAACCGGAGCATCCCTCGTTCATGCATTTTTTTTTTCACTAGTTGCTTTTCCCTTGTTCGGTCAACGCGTCAGCAGCTGTGTTGAATAAAAACAAAACAGATGGAGCTTAAAGAAGTTCCAGAAATTTCAGTAAAACTTCGAAATATTCACAGAAGGGCAGAGATTACTTATGTAGGAACTTAGGGGAAGATCCGAGAACTTCAGGAACTTTCATCGACATTAGCAGAATGCGGGAGCATTTCAAAAAGTTTAGTTAGCTCCCCTGGGGAGTTCAGTTCCGTTAGGTTCATAAAATTTGTGAGGTCTTCATATAGGTTCAGAAGTTCACGGAAGCTTAAATATGTTTAGGACAGTTCAATTAAATTAAGGGCAGTACAACAAGCTTCAGACTGCAACGAATTTAGAGAAGTTTCGAGAACTTCAGGAAAGAACAGAGAACCTTAGAGCAGTTCCGTTAACACAAGAGAAATTATATAAACTTTAAAGAAGTTTTGAGAACTTCAGCGAATTGTTAAAACTTTGTAGAAGATCCATGATCGTTTGGAAAATTGAGGAAACTTTGGAAAGACCGAAAAGGTGCAAGGAAGTTTAAAAAATTTATGAGAAGTAGAGTGAGCATCAGGCTAGTTTCTCAAACTACAAATAGAATTATTCTAGAAATTCACTTCGAACGCTTCTAAAATTCTATAAAAATAGCACCACAATATACTTAGGATACTTCTCGCCAATCCATTGAAATATGTCTCAACATTTCGTTAGAACTATCTCCCGAATTGCTCGGAATTGTAGGAGCTCAGTCGTAGTCGACCAAAAAGTCCGAACCTACTGACGAACTGAGTGGACTGAATGAATTGAGTGAATTCGATGCGTGTGGTTGTCTGTGTAATTGAAATGACAAACTGTTATAATGTTTACGTATAAAAAGGCCTATCAATAAGCAGTTGTGCAAGTTTGCTTTTGAAACATGAACTGTCGAAAGCCGGCGCCGGTGGTGTAGTGGTAAGCGTGACTGCTTTCTAACACCCCGATGGGTCTGGGTTCAATCCCAGCCGAGGTCGGTGGGATTTTCTGAGGCATAAAAATCTCTGGTCACGTCTTCCTTCGGAAGGGAAGTAAAGCCGTTGGTCCCGGCCCATGTGTATTGAATGGGTGCGATATCCTACGCAGGTGTGGAAGCTGCCTTCCTGCACATTCGATTGCCGTCAATGGATGGCAATCGATGTCCGTCGGTGATTGGCACTAGATTGCGGAACAGAGACCGACGTTAAATAAAGGAAAGAAGAGGAAGAAGATGAACTGTCGACAAGTGTTTTATTTACTCCACTGAAGAAATACTCCTCTTGGAATTACCTTGAAGTTCTCCGCAGTAAGATTCTCATAATTTTCATTGAATTCATTTCATATTTCTTTTTGAATCTCACGCTTTCCCAGAGAATTCTACTCACATTGAAAGTCTCCTAAGAATACATTTGCATTTCTCCTCGCAACTTCCTTCGATTTTTCCTCATTATTTGTTTGGCAAATTCACCTACACAGCAAAAAAAAAATGTAATATCGATCAACGTAATTCAAGCTGATGTATGAAATAATGATGTAATAGCAAAATGCAGATACAATATTACATCAATGGATGTTATTTTGTTCGCAAAATCGATGTACATCGTACAATGTGATATTACAAAACCGATGGATTGACCTGGTTGCAGCAGTTTCGATGTAATATTCAACAATTAATTAATTAATTAATTTAGCTTTATTTAGGAGGCTTTCAGCCTTAGGCTGGTTCGCCTCCGTAATATTCAACAACTTTTTTTGCTGTGTACACACTTAATTTTTTTTTGCCGAGATGGGAACCACCGAGCAGCTCGGCATTTTATTTTGCTGGATCTCAGTGAAAACTTGCCGAGATTCAGCTAACAAATGGGAATTTTGCCGATATCTCAGCTAACAAACATAAATTTTGTTGAATATCGGCAAGTTTTTCACTGAGATCCAGCAAAATAAAATGCCAGCTGCTCGGTGGTGCCGATCTCGGCAAAAAATCTAGATGTGGGCCCTTATTATGGGTGTCACTTCACGGTCAAAACGAATGGGAATCACTTCATCATGAGTCATAAGTTGTCACTTCACCCTGAAGTGATATCGGTAATAAGGGCCGTGTAGAATTCTTTTCCGAATGCCTTTGAAGATCTCCTGGAGCTCTTCCTCACCCCCTAAGTATTCTTCAGAAAATTCCCAAGGACTTATGCTCCGGATTCGTTTTCTCCCACAAACTTCATGAAATTATCCATCCCTTGGAATTTTCCTCTGAAGTTCACAGGACTTCTACTCTTCAGAAATTCCTATGAGTTTTCATTAAAATTTACTTACTAAATTCAATTCATAGTTTTCTTAAAATCCACTCGAAACTATCTCAGGCTTCAAATGAAATCTATATCCTCAGAACTACCTTGAAAGCAGATTGCACTTGATGTTTTTTCTCAAAGATTTTTTTGATGTAGAACTACGTCTGTGATTTTTATATGGGGCTACACTTTGTGAAAACCGAAAATGGAACATGTAACAGAATTATGAAAGATTTTGAACGTTAATAACTCAGCTGCCCCTGGACCAATTTCAATAATTTTATTATCAATCGTTCAGAAATAAGTCTATATCATTTTTCAAAATATCACAAAATTGGAACAATCGACTATCTGTCAAAGTCATACGAAAAGTCATTCCAATCGAGCAGAAGACCTGTCAAATGGATAAGATGTCGTCTCTTTATAAATTCAGGCTCTTTATATTAAACATAACACGAATGTGCAACTGTGCTTATGATTATTAAAATTATCACCGATTGCCTGCGAAAAGCGATTTCCCTAACACAGATTTCAATGTTGAATTCCATCCGGTCTCACCAAACGGTGTTCATTCAATCACCGCGTGGTGAGTGGTGGTGTTCTCCAGTACACAACGAAAGGGTCCCCGCAAGCAGCTAGCTATCAAGGCTGGCCTCAACCGCTGATCGGATTCAGTTCCAATCACCGTGTGTGGTAGTGTCCGGTCGTTGACATCAGCAGCAGCAGTGCTGCTGAACATTGTTCTCCAGTACACAACGAAAGGCTGCCTGCAAGCAGCGAGCTACAGCGCACATGAGCATCGATAGAAGGAGGAAGAAGCCGCATCGCTTTTGATCGGAATCAGTAACTCTTCGTGAGTCGCTGCCAACCCGGGGGCAACTTGACAAGTCCAGTACATTTCCAGTGTACTCCGAAAATTTGGTGCTGGTGGTTCTGTCAAACTCACAAATTTCAGAAGTGTTATCTGAAAAGGGCGAATGCAGATATGTAAATAAAGTAAATAAAATACTGAACATAAAAACAGATAGCCTCATCTGTTTCTTGAAACTTCAAGTTGGTGGGGAACAGTGTTAATTAAACGGACGGGTGTAACAAAAGACAATCACTGAAATTTATTCGTTTTAGAAGCTCATTATGAATATCTTTTGTTGAGAGACGCTTATTTTAATTTATTTTATTTATTTCCTCATGTTTGAATGAATATACGAAATGTTAGTGTTCACACAGCAAACCTGCTACTCACCGCGAATAAGAATCAATTTTGTATTTTTTTTCACCCCTCAATAGAAAGATGGGGAAGTAAACTGTTTTTAATAATACGGCTTTTTATTGCAAGTCTTCACCGCACAAGTATGCTCAGAAACATTATTCTCAAGACTGATAATATTCAAGAGCAAAATATAATAGAATTAACCAATGTGTTTTTATTTCTATTTGATTATATAAGAAAAACTTCCATCAATCTGTTCCAATTTGTTTGGATTTATTTCATTTCACCACGAAAATCATAAATCGCTCTTTTCACATGGCATTCTT